CAGTTATCTGAATGTGGAAGAAAATGTTTAGCATGTCAATAGCGATTGCACAAATAAGAGCTACACCCAAGCGTGAAAAGAATGTGCATTAACTCCTGAATTGCTCAATAACTCTTTGGTGTCAGATGAAGGCTTTCTGGTGCTAAGGTCCGTTTACAGTAACAGTATGCAAGTGATAAAGATAAAAAACATATTTAAATTACATTAAAGCCGCATAAATAGTAAAGGATTCAGGTTAAAAATGTAAAGGATCGATCATCCTTGTTATCTAGTTATTGCACAACAGATGAGTCAACGCATACTGGACATCTCAAACACAGATCTACAGAAACATTACACTCATGAGGCAAAGCAGAGCCCTAAATTTCAACTGAATCAGCATTTAATAGATATTAATATTACCCAGCTATCTACTACAAAAGCATTATATTTAAAGAGACACTATAGTCACCCAGACCACTTCATCCCAATGAAGCGGCCTGTGTGCAGTGCCCCTGGTGTTCTGCTCCTGCAATGTGGCCCTTTAGCATTTTGGAGATATGGCAAGGTTGACATTGTAGGGCTAAACACACCTCTAGTGGCTATCTTCATAACAGCCACTAGATGGTGCTTCTTCAGCATCCACAATGTTTTCAGGAAGACGTCAAACAACCTCTGATGCTTCTCATAGAGAAGCTTTGGATCCAATGCTTCTTTATTAGGAAAAAAAAGGTAATTAAAGGCTTAATAAGAATACATTTTTAAGCAAGTAAACACATTAAATAAAAAAAGATTATTCTAACAGGAACCATAAAAATTCCATTTAACTATTCTCCAGGATGAAAATGGGCATACTGTGAACAATGGTTTTGTTTTGTACTTCTTGGTTTTCTGCAGGAGTCCAAAAATAAACAAAAGATGCAACGTAGAAGTGCCAAAAAAAAAACCTAAAATAAATGTCTCATTGAATAATTGTTTTTGCTTGTGTTCATCCTTCGCACTATGGAAATGAATATATTGTTTGCCGGATAGCACAACATCCCGCAGGACTCATAAATTAACAATTCTTTTCCTCAACATATTTGTTGCTAGGCACTTCTTAAAACTTGGAAAATAATTCTAAAGTTTATATCTAGTTCATGTCAGTACATTTTCACTAGCAGTATAATACAATGTAATATACTGGACCGGTGTTGATTATCCTAGTCCATCAATCGACTTGTAAGAGCGCCAGAGGTTTCCAGATTCAATGGCCCTTTTGTTTCAAGATGGCCACAATGTCGTATGCGAAGCCTTAACAGGTTTTGATTTACTATGTGAGGACTTTTGGGTCCAACTGTCCTGTAGATAAGACCAACCAAAGCTGGATATCCATCTTCAGGAGGAAGACATTAGTCAATGCGAAGGTGGGCCATGGCAGTCTATACCAGGTATTCCTGCCATAGCCAATTATGTGATCAATCAGCAAACTTACCTGGGCTGAGAGCTATTCAAGGGAAGCACCACCAACATCTGTGGAGGGAAACCTCAGGAGAAAATGTCAATCCCCCTAAAGGGGATCGACTTGTCCACACCTAGCTGCTGAATCTGTGGAGACAAGGTGTCGGCTCCTTACCAGACTCTAAGCGTGTATGGGAATATGTCTGGGCCTACTCGAGCTGCCTTATCAGGGGGTCCTCGCAAGAGACCTTGGCCCTTTCCAAGATATCAGCTAACTGCTCTATGCTACACTATTGTCCCATCTGTTTCCATATGATCTCTTATATGCCATTCACAGTTTATTCCTGATTGAGAGGCACATGTGTGGTCCACCAATTCTTTATTTAAGCTACATACATTGCTGAGGTTTTTGCATTTTCTTTAATAGTTATGACAAACAAGCACAGTGCCTTTTTATTTTTCTCACATAAATACTATGCAATATCCAGCAATTAGTTTATCGTCTAACCTTATCAGCCTTTTTACCTATTTTACGTGCCCATTTGAATTCACTGTGGTCCATTGTTTCATCCTTTTAAACTTACTTTTCCATGTGCGCAGAACAAGTTACACGTTAACACATTTTTACTTCTACATTGATGGCTGACCAGGTCTTTTCCAAATTACTAGATAGCCCTTCCCTTCAATACAGGACAGATAGCTTTGCATTGTGCATGTACAAGCTAGTGTCTATACAATGACAAGGTCTCTTTAAAACTCATGCTGAAGAATGGAAAAAGCCACCTGCACACTGATATGAATACGTTAAGCAGACAATCATTGATTTGGCTGCTTTGACTATTACAACGAACATGAAAATCCGTGGAGAGGATTTGCTTTGGATGCCCACAAAGCCTGTTAGAACTGGCCTTCATATTGTAGAGGACAAGAGGAGGAAAACCTACTGTGTTTGCGGAGTAGCCGATCTGCTTACAAAAAAAGGATACACTTTATGTTCATTTAGCACTCTGATTCTATTCACAAGTACGGCTTTCTTTAAATATATTTTTCCCCTACTGATGTCTTCAAACTGGCCTTTTAAGTACATATACCCTGGATTCCCATCAAACAGCTAGAGGAATCGGTGATTATAAAAAGATCAACATTATTTTTTATTTTTTTTTATCTTTACTATTTAAACATAATAAATTGGAAGCTCTGACAGGGTTCTGCATAGAGCAAGAGCAAGACCTACGACATTTACAGTAAAGTTCTAAAATCTCTTTAAAAGGCATCAAAGCTTCAGGCCATGTGTAGTTTACATTGAAAGAAAACATGCCTAAAGTTTGCGTTATTACTGGTGGGTCAGCTTGAAAATGAAAAAGGGCATGTCATAAAGCTTGATATATTGTATATTAAATCTACTTTCTGGAGGGTTTACAACCTCATATATTCCAGAAAAGTTCAAAAAATCTAAGTAAAGTTTGTATAATCTCAGAGTACAAATATTTCCTCCGACTCACTAACATTTCTCAACATTCACCCCATTTTAAAATGCCTTGGCTTTTGTTTTTCTATATAAAGAAACATTATTTTCACAAATCCCCATGTCTAGAAAACATGTCTAATTTATAAATCAGAAAAAAAGGAATGGTCTTATCTCAATAAATTGGCATTTGCATCATCTCCACCACAAAAATTATTAAAAGCAGCTATTCCCATTAATATACAAATTCTTAATAACTCAGCCCTCTGCAAGAACTTTAACCTAATTTCACATCCAAATTGACATACTGTGTGTTTTGCCATCACAATTTCAAATGCACTCTGTCTGCTGATACAGGTGTTTTCTAGTTTTTAATCAATCATGTGGACTATTCCTGAGGTCATGAAACTCACAATAACATGACAAAATTAGGTCTATTACATCATTTTGACGATTCCTTCATGTCTTTCGCTGTAATGGCCTTGACCACATAGAAGAGTTGTTTGAGTTCACTGGATTAGGTACAAGCTGTATTACACAATAGACAGTCTCCTCACTTCAACCACATCTGTCCTCAACTGGATTAAAATCTGATCCATTCTGTATAATCCAGGGGTCCTCAAATTCCCCCCTCCCCCCCCCAGATGTTGCTGAACTACAACTCCCATGATTCTCTGAGTTACATAGATAGCCAGAGAATCATGGGAGTTGTAGTTCATCAACATCTGGGAGGCCAGAGTTTGAGGACCCCGGTATAATCAATGGTTCACCGTCCAATGGCTCACTGGGCTTTCCCTAATGATGTATCACTGGAACAAGCTATAGTGTATCAACCGATGTATCACAAACTACAAATTGCACATGCAGTATATTAATGTACAATGATAAACTACTGCAGCAGAACCGTCCGGAGTACACCAGATTACACATAGACACACTGGAGAGAAAAGATTAAACTCAGATTGGCTGTCAAAAGCTAGATTACAGCAAGATTATACCTGCTGGCGTTATCATCTATGGATCGCAACAGTCTGTTACTGAAGGCGTAGCAAAGAGAGATGTTTATATTTGCGGAGTAGTTGTAAATTCAAAATATAGCAAGGAAAAAACTTGCTTCTAAAAATGTGAATTAGTACCTTAGACATTGAAACTTTAGCTGGGATTACATGAGGATTACCTTCCAGTTGCCAGCTCCCATGGGGTACAAGTTACACAAATATTCATCAATGTTATGCTTGAGACATGGCACAATACATCTACACCAGCTTCCATTCTTCCCCTATGGAACAATGTCAACCTTCTAGCAAGAAAGTTTAACATAGAAAATTGTCGCCTGATTATTCACAGTATTCCATTTACTGTCAAGGAGGCAGATCAGGGGCAGAGCAAGCACAAGTCAAACACAGCCCTGGTCAATCAGCATCTCCTCATAGAGAAGCATTACATCAATGCATCTCTGTGAGGAAAGTTCAGTGCCTGCATGCAGAGGGTGGAGACACTGAATGTTGTGATGCATATTAGGCAAGACTGCCCAAGGAAGCACCTCTAGCAGCCATCTAAGAAGTGGCCAGTGACGTTATCACAGTGTTTACTGCAAAAAGCCTGAAGGGAATGATTCTACTCAATACAACAAATGCAAAAAGCTGTAGTTGTTCTGGTGACTATAGTTTCCCTTTGACCCCTTAACGCCGTTACAGCGTTCTACGCCGTCCCCATTCTAATGGGCTTTAAAGCCGCTGCGCAGCACAGAACGCCGTAATGGCTTAAGCCCCCAGGAGCTCCGGTGGCCTTCCCTCCATCGTGATCCTCTTCGGGAGGACTGCCTGACAGCCCAGGCAGCCCTTCCCCGGGAAATCAGGCCCACGGGGGCCATGTGATCACTCTCAAAGAGCGATCACATGGCCCCCTATAGCTGGCTGTGGATCTGCCAGCAGGGGGACTGCTTGGACTGTCAGACAGTGGGAAGTATAAAAAATAATAATTAAACATGTTTAAAATAAATTAAAAGTACATATATATATATATTCATCATTTATGTAACGTCATACGTAGTGTATTTTAATATAATATAAGTACATATATTAGTAAGTACATATATTAAAATACACTTAGAATGAAGATACATATATAAGGTGTGTGTGTGTGTGTGTGTGTGTGTGTGTGTGTAAATATATATATACACACACACACACACACACACACTATATTTATATATACACGTATAATTACAATACATTTTTTTAAATTAAAATAAATTATATATACATATGTAATTTCATTCTAACTGTATTTTGTTATATATATATATATATATAACAAAATACACTTAGATATGTATAGAATGTCATTCTATCTATACATAAAATACAAATAACCGCAAATATATATATATATATATATATATTAAAATTCTACGTGTATATGTAAGCAAAATTTGATTGACATTCCGGACAACCCAGGTAGAAAGTGCAGAGAATGTAATTCGCACTATATTTAACCCTGTAACTTTTCAAGACACCATAAAACCTGTACACAGAGGGGTACTGTTTTACTCGAGAGACTTCGTTGAACACAAATATTAGTGTTTCAAAATAGTAACTTGTATTATTGCATTATTCACACATGAAAGGCACTTTTACTGACGATATTGTTGTAATACGTTTTACTGTTTTTAAACACTAATGTTTGTGTTCAGTGAAGTCTCCCAAGTATAACAGTACCCACCACGTACAGGTTTTATGGTGTTTTGGAAAGTTAGAGTGTCAAATATAAGGCTTGCATTAAATTTTTTTTCCACATTGAAAATTGCCAGTTTGGTAATGTTAACATTGAGACACTGTGGTAGCCCAGGAATGAGAATTATCCCCATGATAACGTTTGCAAAAGTAGGGAACCCAATGTATTGCATGTGGGGTATGTCCAGTCATTTTTAGTAGCCATTTAGTCACAAACACTGGCCAAAGATTTGTTTTTTGCTTTTTTCACACAAAAACAAATATGAACGCTAACTTCGGCCAGTGTTTGTGACTAAGTGGCTACTAAAAAAGACTGAACATACCCCGCTTGCAATACCTTGGGTTGTCTACTTTTGCAAATGTTATGCCATCATGGGGATAATTCTCATTCATGGGCTACCACAGGGTCTCAAAGTTAACATTACTAATCTTGGAAATTTCAAATGTGAAAAAAAACGGAAAAATTAAATGTGCTATATTTGACCCTGTAACTCTCCAAAACACCATAAAACCTGTTAAAGGGGTTACTGTTGTACTTGTGAGACTTTGCTGAATACAAATATGTGCGTTTTATTGCAGTAAAAGCTAACAGTATTATGACATTTAAAGATAAAATGTTAGGCCGAACTACACACTTTTTTTTATTTTAAATCTTAATTTCTCACAGTTTTTTTTTTCAATTTAATTCATCCAAAATTGCTTCATATATGAATAGTTCATGAGACAGTAAAACCCTGTTTCTCCTGAATAAAATTATAAAGTGCACCCACACTTATTATATATATGAAAGAGGTGAATTACGGTTGAACAGACAAAGTCAATTCCAGTTTTTGTTTACATTTTGTTTTTATCAGAACGTGTACTATTGACTCCGCCCTGAAGGGCTTAAGTAAAACATTGTGCTTTCTCACACTGACATGTTTGCATACAGTGCAATTTTCTTACTATTCCCTGACAGGCTATTGTTTTCTAGAGTGCTTTCATAGAAATACATTTAATGATGGTGTGTTTGTCCCTCTTTGTAGTAGAAACAAGTTAATGTTGGTTTTCAAAGGCTTTGGATTAACGGTTTCAAAATGTACAACGGACAAACATGTTGATAAAAAAAAAACATTTAAGGAACAATGGCAGTCCATGCTGTCATAACCATCTGGTATCAGTGTGCTATAATTGCAGGAGGGCATTTGGTCCTCAGAGGGTTACAACGAGCACCATGACCAATTTGCAGATTTAAAGTGGATCATGGTGCCTGGAGTCTGTATATGCAAATGTTTGCTATGAAACGCTGCACATGAAAAGTTGCTGCTGGAAGTGTAACTCTAAATATGGCTGCACCACAGGGGCATCATTATCAAGCCTGGAACTGGATATGTGATTTCTGCACAAATTTGGCATCTGACAACAGCACGCACAATATGCTGATCGCCATACAGGCAATGGAGAGATGGCCGCATCCTCCGTGCTGCCCATATCCTCCCCTCAGCCGGCACTTCCTGAGGTCTCTCTGTGGGGCACAAGTTACGCTCTCTATGGGGCACAAGTTACACAGAAGCAAAGGGCAAAGAGTAGTGACATCAGCCAATGAGGATCAGGCTGCAGGGAGAATTTAGGCCCCAGCACAAAGGTATTTTTTACTAAAAAAGTATTTTTTAATTATTTTCAGGTTTCTGGTTTCAAGGAGTCTTCCTCGCTTTGTACCAAAACTGTAGTGATACATGTATGATATAAAATAATGTTTTATCTGTATATGTGTTAGTTGTTTGGCTAGCACAATGTATAGATACATTTCTCAATAATGGTCTGTCTTGATAGAGGTCTTTAAATCCCTTACACTTTAAAACGCACCTTGAAATGGAACTATAATCTCACCAAATGCCATATTTTCCGACAAACCTCAACATACGAAAATTGATAAATGCATTATTTAAAATGTTGACAGTTTCTATATGCCAACAAAAGCAGCCACCGCAACCATATATCTGTATGATTATTGCGCTCCACAATTTACATTTCCTCTTTGGTGAATACTAATTGGTCCTGGCAGATTTAGGAGGAGGAGCAAGGAGATGGTGCACAAGTTTACAAGAGAAAATACAAAGTGACTGAATTTCACCGTCTGCTGAGGTAAAATAGATCAGTAGATTATGCAAAACCCTAAAACACTAACATTAATTCAAAAACAAATTTAAAAAAGGTACAATTTAGAGGCAACTTATATAAACATATTTGTGGTCCTATCACTAAATAGTGAACTAAAACATTAAGTGTGAATAGATCTGTTCAAAATAATCCAAGTTTGAAAATCCGTACAAATGTCTACCTAGCGAACAAGCCCGCTGTTGATCTGAAAGATCTTTAGAAAAGTGGTCCAAATTTAAGCAGAACTTTTGGCATTCAGTTACAAATACCCCATGCAAGATCTACATGACTGAAGTAAGAGATTAAGAGACTGCTGGGGAATAAAAATAGCCATATCAATCATATTTATCATTCCATGTACATTGTTGTAAAGAATGTATCGTTAATCTAGTACGCATACCTTAAGGCCTACACTTTACTTGCCTAGTTTCTTCACATTAATCTTTCAGTCATTTATTTTTTTTGCTCGAACTAGATTGTTATGTCTGTACAAACTATTATTCTTAGTATTTGCCTAGCATGCACAGACACCAGGTAATCTGGAATCTACACCTAGCAACAAAAGCAGTATGACATCTCACCTGGCCAGGGTCAGTTGCCTTGAAGACATGGCAAACCATTTCTGATTCAGGGTTGTCAGGCTGTGTCTTAATCAAATAGGCAAAATAAGTTGGATCCTGGGTATTATGTATGAAACGGGCAATGTGCTGCGCTTTATGTTCAAAAATAAAAACTGCAGTGTTGGCACTGGCGCCATTCAAAGCGGGCACACATCGCAGGTGAGGGGCAACCAGCAAAAGCTGTACTTCTCTGCATGGTGTTGCACATCCAGTTGGGTCCTGTCTCTCTGCCCGTCTACGAATCTCCGCCACGAGCCATGGCAACATGGGCAACGTGGTTCGCCGGTCTAGGGATGACCAACCGACATACCACAGACGGAACCTTTTCTCACCCTTCACAGATTTGTCTTGCATAGGTGGCGCCTCCAACAGTGGGTGATCGTCCAAGAGAGGGTGGCATTGATCTGCTGAACTTCGTCTCTCCATTGCTTTCCCAGAATTCAACACTAGATAATATTAAGTGAGCTTTGGTGATTAATAATAATGTATATCCTAGAATTAACAGAGAGAAATACAACAAAAGGGGTCAAAAAACAGTACAATGTTCCTTCCAATTCAACAGAAAGACGCCCCTTTGTGGCTTATCCTTAGAAGTGCAACCTTGGACCTGAAGGCTGGCTTGGTGGAGCCCATGCAGGGACAGGTTATAATGGGATATGCTTATCCATGGAGCAGCTAAGAAATGCACAAAGGGTACATTTAAAGAAGGAACATGTGACAGTAATTCTGGAGCTCTGCATAGGGTTTCGCACATGGCACTTCCATGAGCAGATTGTGTGTCCGGGATCTGGTTTGTCCACACAATCCTCCTGTCTGTACAGTGTTTCCTCCTCTCCTCCCTCTAGCTAGCAATCGTCATGACAGATCCTGCAGAGCAGCCTCCCTTCCCACACCTCCTGCATGCGTGCATTAGCCCCGATCCCACCCCTTCTTCTTATTTATTGTATCATTTCGAAGATCTCCAATGTTGCAGCAGGGATCTGGCTAACAAGTAACCGCAATGGGAAGACAGCAAAGCCAAAAAAAGAATACTACCTCTGGCTGCCTCCCCTTCTTCTCAGGTCAGAGCTCTTCTGCTGTGTTCCCCAGACAAAATCAATTCTGCAGAGGGAGTCCCAGTCAGATAAATAAAAAATAGTGGGACAGCACTATACTAGTCTTACTCCTCCCCTTCCTCCAGCAGCCAGCTACGAGGGTTTCTCGTTTCACTTACTCCCAGCAAAAAAAGTTTCGTTACTTCTCAAATCCCCCCCCCCTCCAAAACTCTGCAGTGTCTGCGCCCCCACCCTGTGTTGGGTACATGCAGTCAGTGCATGCTGCTAAGATGTTGGTAGGGACTCATCTTCTAATGTGTGCATAGTGAGGGGTTGCATTGTTACGTGCCCTGCACGATGGATCTTTCATAAACGTTCCAATTAAAGGAACACCATGGTCATCTTCAGCAGACAGCATGACTGCTCATTACCCAGCCTCAAGCCTCCCAAGGTGTTGGTTTGTGTGATGTTGGGAGCCCACTGGCTGCAGGAGGAGCAAAGTGTTTAACGCCCTCCTCGTGCGTCCTTAGGCCAATGTGATCTATGGCAGTTTAGTCTGGTTCCCTTTTTGTGCAAATATTCTGTTAAACATGCAACCACAAATAACTGCTAAATAAAGATTGTATATTTACTTTTTTTCTTCTTTTTTTTATCTTTAAAAGCTGAAAATAAAAACACATTAACATGATTAAAT